GGAAAGAGGACCAGGAGGAGGAGGCGGAGGAGGAGGGGAAGGGGGAGGAAGAGGAGAAGGTGGAGGAGGAGGCCATTCCCAGTTGCGCCGACAGCCAAGGCCTGCCAGTCCTCCGCGCCCCAGGTGCCGCCGCGGCCCTCTGGGGCGGCCGCGCTGCTGGTCGCCGACGCCAGAGGCTGGCCGTCCGCGGCGCGCTCGAACATGGCGGGGTCCCGCTCGCCCTCCTCAGGGGCGTGCGCGGAGGACCAGAAACCAAACGACACCACCCCACCCACGTCCCCACGGGGCTTGGCTTGCCGTGAGAGAAGGAGGAGGAGGAGGAGGAGGAGGAGGAGGAGGAGGAGGAGGAGCAGGAGGAGGAGCAGGAGCAGGAGGAGGAGCAGGAGCAGGAGGAGGAGGAGGAGGAGGAGGAGGAGTGGAAAGAAGAGGAGGAGCAGGAGGAGGAGTGGAAAGAGGAGGAAGAGGAGGAGGAGGAGGAGGAGGAGGCGGTGGGGAGGAGGGGGAGGGGGAGGGGGAGGAGGAGGGTGAAGGGGGCCCTGGGACACACCACTGAATACACACGAATCACAGAAGTCCCTTTTATTTTCCCCTGTTCTCTGTGCTTTTGCTCTCCCTCCCACTTCCTATATCTTCCCATATTTTCAGGGGACTCGACGATGAATTACGGCAGGTTCGTGTCGTGCCGACCCCAGCGTTGGTTTTTGACACCGCAGGGATCGTTCAACCTTGAACGATCGGCCGCTGCCGCAACGTCCGATCGTTCAACGTCGATCGATTCTGGGTCGCCGGCGGCGTTCAACCTTGAACGCCCGCGCTGGGGTCTCCGCTGGTCGACACGACGCAAACCTACCGTATGTCTGTGTGTGTTTCTCCCTCCCGAGAGGAGGCGGCGGAGGAGGAGGCGGAGCGCGGCCTGACCGAGGCGCGGCGGACCGAGACAGGGCTCGAGGCTCAAGGTCTTCGGGCGGCTCTGGCGGTCGTCGTCGTCGTCGTCGTCGTCGTCGTCGTCGTCGTCCGTACCCGACGGCGCCCTCCCCGGGGGGGTGTGCGGCGGACCAGTGCGAGGCTCGAGAGAGCAGCACTTGAGAGTCCAAGATTCACTAGGGGGCTGGTCTCCCCCCTCCGAAACGACCGAAACCTGTCCGAAACCCTCCGCCAAGGATCCCAGGAGTCTTCCCGGAGGGCTCAAGGAGGGTTTCGACAGGGTTGCTGGCCGTCCGCGGCGCGCTCGAGCATGGCAGGGTCCCGCGCGCCCTCCTCAGGGGAGGCGCGGCGGACTGACGCGAAGCTCGAGGCTCAGAGTTTTCGAGCGGCTATGGCGGCCTTCAGCGGTTTCCAGCAACGGGATGCGTTCCAAAGGGCTGAGGTCGTTTTGGGGGGGACCCAGACGCTGGCGAGCCCTGGGCCTTCTCAGAACAGCAGCTCAGAGACCGAGATCTGCAACTCCACTTGAACTGACGATCGCCGTTTGATTTCTCTTTCCAGGCTCGAGGCTCGAGGCTCAGGGTTCTCGGGCGGTGTCGGCGGTTCTCGGCGGTTTCCAGCCTCGGGTCGCTGGCCAATCGAAATCCCGTGTTCTCGGAGGCGTCTGGGGGTATTTGTAGGCGGTCACAAACTCGCGCGGGGCGCGATCGCGGGCCGCGCCCTGGGTGGCGTGGCCGGCCGCCACTCGACGCCGCGACGAAGGAGCGGCTGTGGGGCGCGCGCCCGCGCAGGGGTTGCCCTTCCTCGCAGCGCCAAGTGTCGCGGTGGCGCTGCGGGGATGTCGCTGGTTTCTTGTGCGGGGCTCCAGTCTCGAGGCTTTTGGTCGTCTTCGTCGGTCCTCGGCGTTCGCCGAGGGCGTTCCGAGGGTGCCCAGATCGTCCCGAACGGCCGCCCGCGAGCCGGGGCATGGCCCGAAGACCACGCCACTCTTGCGCTGCCGAGGAGCCGGCTAGGGGGGGGGGTGAGGTTACCCACTGCTGGTTCCAGCTGGAAGAGAGAGGGGAGGAAGGAGTCCCTCGTCGCCCACGGCTAGACGCTAGTCACTTTCGACCCTGGTAGAGGTCCAGGGACTGATTGTGAGCGGATTTGTCTTCGCCCCCTCTCTTGACCGATTTTCTCGGGGCCCATCAAGCGTAGACCTCCGCGCATTGTAAAAACAAATACGGACTTCTTTGTCTGTTTTCGGCCTCATGCAGGCCTCGCCGGGCCCCGTGGCAGTCAGAAAGCGACTCGAGATTGAAAACCAGGTCGCGGGAAATAGGTGGAGACCTGAGCGCCTGTGAACTATTCGTTTTTTTACATTGGGTCGGTGGCTGGGGCCCGGTGACGGGGTGTCCTGGCGACCGTGGCGCGGTGACAAAATGACCCAGTGACCCGGTGACCCGGTGACCTGTTGACCCACTGACCGTGACCTGCTCGGCCACGAGCCTAAGCGCGGCCGGCCGCAGCGCGTGGAAATCCGCGGGGGTAAAGGGTTGCATGAACTCGTAGACGGGGATCCCCGCGGCTGCAACCGAAGGCGCTCCGCCACCTGGAGCTCGGCGATACCAGGCTTTGATGTCGGGGTTCCTGGCGTCCAGCTCCTCCACGTACAGGCCGTTGTCTGGCGTGACGACGACGGCGTGGGTAGACCGAGCCTGAGAGACGCCCACCACAACGCGACCATGCGGCAGTGGATGCTGGACTGCGTGCTCGACGAACCGCTCATCGCCCTTATTCATTTTGACGCCAGATCCGCGTGGCTGCTGGGGGGCACGGCTGCCGACCAGCAGCACAGAAGGTGCCAGGCGCGACACCGATGGGGGCGGTGCAGCCTGGCTGCGCCGACAGCACGCGAGCCCGGCGACCAGCCAGCGGAGCGCCTCCACGAGCAGCGGGCCCGCGAGCGACACGACCATCTGCTGCCCCGGGCGCTTGTTCGGCGCGGGCCGAAATACTCCTGGAGCAGGATGGCGCACCCCTCGATCGACGGGGCCCGCTGCTCCACGATCGGCTCCGCGCACGGCGGAGCTGGCAGGAGCCAGGGGGCGCACGCCTCGGCCGAGGGCGCCTCCGGCCCCAATGGCACCTCCGCAGCCGCCGGAGGGTCGGGCGACAGCGGGCCGCCACGAGGGGGCGCGAACCGACGCGCGGCTGGACCGAAGGCGAAACCGACCCGAAGGAAAGCAATGGAAGTGAACAAGGCCTCCTCTGGCCGCATCGAGAGAAAAAAACTACGGGTGGCAGATAAATATCAAGACGATGCCTGTCGCAGAGTCTGAAGTAAATGGTACTGAGACACAGAATTCAGAAGACCCACTTTGGTAAGGGTCAGTACTCGGGCCAGTGTAGATCCCTACCAAAACGCTTGCGCTTGCACGGCTATCTTACATTTACCAAGCAACCATGGAGATCGACACCAGTGTCCAGCGGCTCTCATTCTGCTCACGGATTCAAGTTCCAAGACCGCCCATCATCATCACCATCATCATCATCATCATCAGCACCATCATCATCATCATCATCATCAGCAGCACCATCAATAATTATCATCAATCGTCATCATCATCAGCAACAGCATCAGCATCGTCATCATCACAATTACCATCACCATCCTCAGCACCACATCAGCATCATCATCACCATCAGCATCACCAGCATCAGTATTGACATCAGCATCAACATCAGCATCATCATCATCATCATCAACAGCAGCAGCAGCATCGCCATCATCATCACAGCATCGTCGGCATCATCAGCATCATCAGCATCATCACCACCATCACCACCACTACCACCACGACCATCATCATCATCATCATCGTCGTCGTCGTCCTCGTCGTCGTCATCATCATCATCACCATCACCATCAGCATCATCATCACCATAATCATCATCATCATCATCATCAGCACCATCAATAATTATTATCAATCATCATCATCAACAACAGCATCAGCATCGTCACCATCACAATTACCATCACCATCATCATCACCACCACCATCATCATCAACATCAGCATCACCATCAGCATCATCATCACCATCATCATCATCATCATCGCTGTCTCCCAAGAGCGAGAGGAAGAGGAAACTCGAGGAGCAGCCGCAGGAGAGGGAGGGGGGGAGGGAGGGAGGAGAAGGTGGGAGGAGGAAAATGAGAGAAAGGAGGCGAAGGAGGAGAAACAACAAGGAGGAGGGGAGGAGGGAGGAGAAAGGAGGAGGAGGGAGGAGGAGAAGTGGAGAAGAAAAGGAGTAGGAGGAGGAGGACGAGGAGCGGAGGACGATGAGGGAACATGAGGACGAGGACGGAGGAGAGGAGAGGGGACGAGGAGATGGGAGGAGGGAGGGCCTGGAGGGTGGAGGGCCCCCCCCTTGCCGTCCTGGCCATCCTCGAACCTGACGCTGATGCTGCCCTGCCAGCTAGCGTCGAGGCCAACGATAGTGCCCAGACGCTGCGTCCACCTGTTGCGCACCGGCAGGCCCACCTCGGACGCCAGGAGGAGGGGGACTTCGGAGGAGGACAGACATCCAAGTGGAGGAGGAGCAGCATGGGTTGGGTTCGGTTCGGTCGGGGGAAGATTCGGGACTCGGGTGTCCGCGAAACGGTCACATGAAGGGATCTCTGCAGGGGGCGAACAGCACTCGCTTCCAGGCTGCAGACCAAGCAGGACGAGGAGGAGGACAACGCTTTAGGAGGATGAGGATGAGGATGATGATGATGAGGAGGAGGAGGAGGAGGAGGAGGAGGAGGGGAATGGAAAGGGTGCACGCAGGAGGAGGATTGTGCGTAGAGGGAGGATGAGAACTCCACCTCTGCCTCCACCTCCGCCACCTCCTCCTTCTCCGCCCTGCCGCCCTTTACCCCCTCCACCACCTCCATGAGGAGGGGAAGGATTTCAGGGGAGGCGGAGGATACACCCACCAGTAGAGAGGCCGGAGCTCCTGGTCGTAGGACGACTAGTGGAACAAGGCGCGCAAGTGCTGAGACCTCTTGCTGATGGCCCCGGCCCTTGCATGAAACAACGACTGCGCATGACACATATCAAATATACCTTGAATTCGCTGAGTGTTGAACGTGCTAAGACACAAATCGAGCGAGACAGCGAGAGCACAGAGTTGCTCGCCAGAGGACCACGTGTGCTTTCTCATAAGCACCCGATCCTCGAAAGAAATCTGAGACTACTCGGATGGAAAGGAAGGGAGCAAACGCGAGACAGAGGCAATGAAGATAGGACAAGAGAGATAATGACTGAGAGAATCGCCGCCGAGAGCCATACACCCCAGACGACATTGAAGGGTTCCGTTTCGGAACCGTTTCGTTGCACACCAAGAACTACAAACAGTTTTGAGAACACGAATGCCTATAAACTCAGGGAAAGCCTATTCAACAAACGCAGCTGGGAAACAAAATCATTGGCCTCAGAGGAGGGCGCCTCAGGGGACCAGTAACGGAGCCTAGGGAGCAAGCGGCTAGCATTAGAATTACAGAGATGCAGGGGCCTCAGAGCACGCTCAGATTTGTGTTGAAGTCTTCGACAAGGCTCATGGGGCACTCGTGGAACCTGCCATACTCGATCATATAACGCAATCGTCTGGTACACGATGCAAGACTTACGCCATTCAGGAAGACTCGGGACCAAGGTTCTTTCAATACTATCATCTGCTGCGGCCAGAGCTTCCCGACCACGATGAAATGCCGAGGAGAAAAAACGCAGTGCGATATCGAGCAGCCTCACAGACTAGGCCAAAGCTGCGCACCTCGGTGCTGAACTTCAAATCCTTGAAATCGCGCAGGACGCCCGAGGGAATAGAAAACCGCGGGGCAGCAGTGAGTAACTGAACTACGTCTCTCTCTTTTCTGCAGGGCTTCGGCGCTAGGGGGGTAGAACTGCATGATGTATGATAATACAGTGATGCCATAGGCGTTGTAGGCGACAATGTTCCCCACGAGAGACCTCTGGAGAGCTCGGATGAGGAGACCCCTAGCACGGCATTTAGCAACCGGCTTATTCCAAACTGTGAGATGTGCTTCTGGCCCCAGTCGAACTCCGAGATACAGAACATTAGGAGCAACGCGAAACCGACGAATCCGAACTCCTCTCGACCGAAACTCAGCATTAATATCATTCTGGGGGAACAAGAAGCACAACTCAGTCTTCCTCAAATTGAGCACGAGACCAGCAGCTCCAGCTGCGTAGCTCCACAGCTTCAAAATAGGCGGCAGACACGTGTACAAGTCTTCGCTTTCGAGGCCAACGTCATCGGCAAACGCTCGGATAACCCCAGGAACAGGAATAGCCCCCTCCATACTCCTCAAAATTGGATCCATAATCGACGCGAAAATCACCCCACTCAAAGGACACCCTTCATTTATGCCTCGTTGAAGCTGGAACCGGTGGTCTCGACAACCATTGAAGGATACTATCACTTGGATATCCGTATACAGGGCTCGCACTGCTCGAGCGATTTGCGGTGGCAGTCCCATAGCTCCGAGAATTCTGAAGATCCAGGGGTGGTGCACCGAGGGGAATGCAGCTTTCACATCAAACAAACACACGCCAGTTTTCCTGGAACCGTAGATCGTCCCGCGTTCGAGCAGCGCTGCCTCTAAGTCCAGGACGTTGTCTACAATCTGCCTGCCAGGTGCAAACCCGCGCTGACAGGAGGCCACCGCACGCACAGCGACTCGAGCAAGCGGCGAGGCAATGGCGCTGGCAATGATCTTGTTGCAGGAGTTGGAAAGAGAGATTGGCCTCGTGCGTGCTGGCGTACGGAACACCCCCTCCTTGTCTTTCCCCTCCTCCCCTTTCGGCAAGAACACAGCAATGCATTCGTTAAATGCCTCGGGTAATACTCCGTGGTCGAATAGTGATTCGTAAATCTCATAGAGCAGCTCCTTCCCAACCTCCCCCACCTTCCAGCAGCTATATGGAACCCCATCCCCTCCAGGAACAGAATCTTTTAATCGGCCAGTACGCTCGAAAAACTCATCGCGGCAGAGCTTCCACTCGATGTGCTGAGGAGCTGCTTGTACGAATCTATCGAACGCGGCATAGGCAGATGCAGCAGGCTCCCTTCTCTATGAAACCCCCCCCAATGTTCCGCAATATGCTTGGCACAGGCGGCGGGCTCTCGAATCTCTTGCTGCTGACCGTCGTAGATTCCAAAAAGCGGTGCTACTCTTCGAACCTTCGCCCAAGCTTGTTGCAAACGATTGATGCGTTTGAGGTGGGCATCATTGGAGGCTTGGGGGAGCGACCCGTTGAGGACCTCGAGCTCTTCTTCGTGGAGGCTTTGAAGAGTGGGCACTTGCAGATGTCTGTGGAACGCGCGCTCGCCCACCCAGACGCCGCCATCAGTGTCGACAAACGCAGCAATCTTGGGATCGGCACGCACAGCTCCACGCAGAACTCCTCGCTTATGCTCGCGAACGGCCCGAAGAACAGCAAACATTCAGCTAGTCTTATCGTGAATAGACCGAGCCCCCTTTTCCTCCCTTCTCCTCCTCGCTCTGAAACCAGCTCCATATAAAACATGCTTGTATTGATCAAGACGCTGACCGACATCCCCGTCTAAAACCACCTCATTCAAAACCTCCTCAACTGAATCCTTATACTCGGGCGTCCTAGCAAGCCAGGCAGGAACGTGATCATAGCGAGGCACACGCCGCTCGCCAAGTCCAAGGAAGACGGGCGCGTGGTCACTGCACCAGTCAGGCTCCCCGAAGCCCACGACCCCCGTCCCAGGCTGCATATCTTTAAGAACCGCAGGAAAACTGCTGATATAAATCCTATTCAACCTCGCCATCGATACAATCTCCCCACCAATCTCCTCCTTGTGCGTAGGCAAATCTTGTTCAACTTCGCAAAGATCAGGAAACATGTTGTCAAAATCAATCGATAACTTGTGGGCATTATTGTGGGACGTTCCGCCCCGATGCTGTCTGGACTCGGCGGTGGCATAAAAGTTAAAGCCGCCTGCCAAGAAGGCCAACGCACAGCGCGGATCGAGGGGCCGACTTCGAACGCGCCGAAGAAGAGCTCGCTTAGCAGGCCGACTCAGCGAAGGCACGAGATGAAGGTTGCAAACCTGGAGCACCCCTTCAGGCCCTCGGCACGTGAGAATATGACACCGACCTTCTTCAAGAACTTCGCAGCTGATTTGGTGAAACTGCTCAGCGAATTCTGGAGCAAGACTTGTTAGGATCCCACCTGATCTCGCTTCTTGACAGAAGCTCCCAAATAACAGGTATCCAGGAAAGTCTCGCTCAACCGTAGCAAGATCCCCATCTGAGCCATGCACTTCTTGACAGCATAAAACTTCTTGAGAGGAGACGAGTCGGCGAAACTTGGCATATCGACGCACTTGGGCACGATGATCCCCATATACCGAGCCGAAGAGAGCCTTTGTATTCCAAGTACAAACACGAAATCGTTGGCTAGGGAGAAAAGCATGCATATGAGTGTCATCGTCGCTGGTATCCTCGTAGTCTCCATCCTATGGGAAGCTCACCCTGGCAATCATCGCGTGAGCCAGCTCGGGGGACATGGAGATCTGGGCGATGTCCTCGAGCGTCGGGGAGATGCGGTACGTGGCGCCAGCCTCCTCGACCTTGAAGATTTCCCAAGCCTCGATGCCGCTGGTGTAGTACAGCGTGCCTTTGTACGCGTTGGTGCCCAAGCTGGAGATCCCCTCGCGCCACAGGTGGTTGTCCAGGAGGTGCTGCTTGGTCATGCGCCATAGCTGTCCAAGTACATATCCGCGCTTCCTGATCTCGAGAGGTTTGTGAACGCCGGCGCGAGTCTGGTGCACGGAGTTGTCCCTCGGGTCGGTCCAGTCGCAATTCATGCTGCGAGCCGACAATTCATCCTTAAACTGCTGCGCCGTCTGCTTATTCGGGAAGACGACCATATACGAGAACGACATGTTGTGGTAGATCGGCTTGACCGCGTGCTTGAGAGATTCGTGCATAAGGGGGAGGACCTTCTCCTCGTAGTGACGCTTGATCTGCGGGACGACTAGCTTGCGAGGAAAACCACGCAGCCAAACTTTGAGTTCGTCGTTATCTGAGCTCCCAGAAGAGCTCGGTGGACGCTGACTTCCTGGAGGACTGCCACCACTCTGGAAGCGCGCCCATGGGTCGCCGTGAGAGACTCCACTAGATGGCCCTTCAGGCGCACTCGTCACGTGCTCAAATTCCAGCTTCTCAAGCCTTTCGTGCAAGCTCTGCTGCTTGCTCGTGAGTGTGTCAATGCTTGTCTGGACGGCGGCCGCCTTGGCATCCGCCTGGTTGCGTAAAAGCTGGAGCTCCGTGTTCAATTCGCCACGTAGCGTATCGATGTGATCACCCATGTGCTCTTTCATGGCGTCGGTGAACTCGTTCATCAGCTCGCGAAACATCGGCTTGAGCTTCTCGGCATTGGGGGAGGGTTCAGGGGAGGCGGAGGATGCGGAGGAGGAAAGGGAGGAGGAGGACGGGGCGGAGGAGCACGTGTTCGAATGGTTTTGACGGTTTGGCAAGTTCTCGTGTTCTCCTGGTGTTTCTGGGGTGTGGAGTTTCCTGAGGGGGGGAGCGGGGGGAACCTCCACAACCCATGGAACCCTGTCCCCCAAGCCCCCGCGATACCCTCGTCCTCCTGCCGCTCATCCCTCCTTCTTCTCCTGCCCTTCCTCCCAGGAGATCTGGGGCTCCGAAAAAGATTGGAGCGGCCGGTTTTGGCCGTTTTCGGCCTCCGGGGATGCGGGTCCCAAGAATATACACCACCACCACGTCGATTCCTCCATCTTCCTCCACCCTCATCTTCCTCTCCTCCTCCCTGGGGGAGGGAGGGGATGAAGAAGGTGGTGGTGGTGTATACCTTTGGGCCCCGCAGTTCAACGGGCCCCGGGACCGTCAACAAGACGACTTGAGATCAAAAGCCGCCCCCACGGATTGTCCAGGCCTCTGGACCTAGGGCAGAATATCCTTCGAGACCCTCCGCTGGCCAAACTGAAGAACGTTCGAGGGTGCCCTCCCCCAGGATGCACAAGGACATCCAACAACAAAAACGAATGACAGCAAGGTACCCTCCCCGAACCGATCTCGGTTTCCTGCCCCGGTCCGACCGTACTCGGGGGGCCTGTTGAGGCCAGCTGGGGCCACCTGGGGGGCCTGTTGAGGCCAGCCAGGACTGCGTACCCTGGGGGGGGGGGCGCTGTCCGTGGCGTCACCCGAAGCCTCACCAGTCTGGGAGCGGACGCGATCCGCCCGCAGGGCCCACCTGCGGGATGGCGCTTCCCGTCGAGTCGCTCCGCGGGAGGTGCGCGGCTGGTCGCTCGACCAGCCTGCGACCGTCCAGCGTCCTTCGGGTAGTGCCAGAAAGAGGTTGACGAAAACGCACTCCGGTCACCTACTTTCGCGCATGGCGCCCCGCGACGCGCGGCCATCTTCGCGCCCTCGCGGAGCCTCCCTGGAGAAGGGCAACTCTCAGGCCCAGGCCGCGACGCGCGAAGCGAGACCATCTTCGTGCCCCCAGGGGTGACCTCGCAAGCAGGGCTTGCGCGAGAGGGCACGGCGTCCTCACGCCGCGGCGTACGCGGGCCGCCAGCGTGGGACACCGCGCGGAGAAGACGGGCGCTTGCGCGCGGCCTCCCGCGGGAAGCTCGCGCGCGAACGTCCGCGCAGTCGGCCCCCCTTCTCTTCCGCCGCGGAAGCGTCCCCGGCCCAGGGTGCCCCCAGGAGTTCGGGGGAGACGCGGGTGGCCTCCGGAGCACCCCCCTCGCGAGGCCCCAACCCCCCTGCCGCGTGGCGCGAGGAGCTGGGGACACCTTGGGCCGGGGACGCATTTGGCCATCCCAGAGGCCTGAACATCTCGAGCTGGCGGACGGCGGTATCGCCGTCCTCGAACCTGGAGGAGAGAGGCATGACAACCAGCATAAGAACTAAGCTCCGCGCGGATCTCTTGGATCGGCGCTGGACGCCCCTCCCTGGCGCGCGGAGCGCGCTGGGGGCGGCCACGGAAGCGCCGCCAGGATGGCCCAACACAAATCCAAGAGATCCGCGCGGAGCTCATGAAATTGACTTTTGTGCCGCTCTATCTCCGAGGTGAACAAGAAGATTGACAAAGGTGTAATCAAACTTGAGAGTAAGGATGCGCGAGAAGGATGCAAGCATCTTGGACGCCCATGTCAGAATCTTTTCGAGCGGGGCTGGCCATCGCAAGTGGCTAAGGATGGACCGAGGATGCAAGGATGCAAGGGTACCCTTGGGGATGTTACCCATCCTTATCTAGGTGAACGAACAATGGCATAAACATAAAAACTCGGAAGTCCGCGCGGATTTCTCGGATCCGCGCTGGGCCACCCTGGCGGCGCCTCCGGCGCCGCCCGTGGCGCGCTCCGCGCGCCAGGGAGGGGGGTCCAGCGCCGATCCGAGAAATCCGCGCGGACCTCCGAGTTTTTGTTTATGTTATTTTTCGTCCCCCTACGTTCAACTTTCGATGATCGGCGGCCTTTCGGTCGCCAGCCATATCGGCCGATTCTGGTCCACTGGCAGCGTTCAGCCTTGAAAGCCCGCGCTAGGCCGTCGCCGCGTCAACACGACACAAACCTGCCGTATGTTCTCGCAGGCCGCTAATGATGACAACGATGCCACGATGCGATGGCCTCGGGATGCATGCCAGGGATTTTGGAGCATCCGGCGGCCCTCGCCTCTTGGGGCCCGCACCAGACGAGCAGGAAAGCCTGGAAATCTCGGAGCTAATTGGCAACGTTAGGCGGGGACCTTCCTCAAGGGGAGAAGCACCGAGCTGCAATCGGCAATACCTGTCGCCGGTGTATCCCGGCACCTCGGCGATAGGCTCCCGATGGCGAATGCGCAGGGCCGTGGTCGGGGTGGGCCCCCAGGCACCTGCCAGCGATCAGTGGGCGATCGAACAAGTGTGATAAAAAACAATTGTGATACAAAAAACTGTGATGAAAAACAAGCGTGGAAACAAAATAACATGTGATTAAAAACAAGTTTGATAACAAGCTTTTTTTCACACTTGTTTTTGTTATCACACAGGTTCGATGCGTCGCCCCCGAGCCTATCCTCCTCCGCTGTTGCCCCTGGGGAGCGCATTGCTGTCAGGACCTTGCTGCTCCGCTGCCTTCTCTGCCCCCCCGAGGAGCCGCACAGCGAAGTACCCGTCGCCCACCCAGCTGTCCGGCGCGGGATCGCACACCACGCCTATCCTGCCCGTCTTTCGGGGGCGTCCAGGAGGGGGGGCGTCCAAGAGGGGGTGTGCCAGTCATGGCCGGCGGCATGTGCGCGGCCCAGAGGGGGGGGGCCAGGGACGAATTGAAACAAGAAGAGGCACAATGACATCTGGGGAGATATCATGGGCCCAGGCATAATATATCCCCCCCCAGTGCGACCAGATCATGCGGCTGCGCTGTAAGGATCAAAGACCCTTGGACGCCTACATTGCAGCCTAAGGCGGAAGCCCATGGCCCATGGCGAAGGGCCAAGGGCCAGGATGGTCCGAGAGGCAAGGATGCAAGCGTGACTAGCACCCTTGGGAAACACCTCATCTTTATGATGCGGGTTAACTGTATCATGGCCCCAGCCCTGATATCCAACCCCCCTATTCAACACCCCCCTCTTGGCCGCACCCGAGTCTTCATGTTGCGCACCCGCACGCCCGGTTCCGCCGGGGCCGGCACCGACTGAAGGGGAGGGCCCAGAGGCCGACCTGGCCGGCGGCAGAAGAAGGGGGCGGGGCCGCGAGCCCAGGCGAGCGCGCGCCGTCACACAGAGGCACGACAAGAAGCTCTTGGATTCTTCGGCCTCTGGGGGCCCTCGCTGGGGTGACGTAGCAGCTCCGACGATGCTAGTTTTCAGTCCCAGCTTTCTTCTCCTCGATTCCAGCCTCTGGGCCCGTCACCAGGCCCCGAGCCCATCAAAAATCGATCTTGGACGAGGGGGTCGGGACCCATGGGGCCGCGCTCTGAAGAAAAATGATAAATCAGACTCGGATGTCTGCAGTCTTTTGGGGCGTCTCTCGGGACCTCCTGGTGGCCCCTTGGGGGCCTCTTTGGGGGTGCCTTGGCTGCCTCTTGGAGACCTCGGCGAACATTGTTGGGGCCTCTTGGCGGTCTTCGGGTCCTCTTGGGGCGCCTTGGGTGCCTCTTGGGGGCCTCGGGGGCGCCACGTCGTGGTCGTGGTCGTGGTCGCGGTCGCGGTCTGTCGTGGCCGCGGTCGTGGTCGTCGTCGTGGTCGAACGGCGTGGTCGTCGTGGTCGTGGTCGTCGTGGTCGTCGTGGTCGTGGTCGTGGTCGTCGCGGTCTTGGTCGTGGTCGTGATCGTGGTCGCGGTCGTCGTCGTCGTCGTGGTCGTCGTCGTCGTCGTCGTCGTGGTCGTGGTCGTGGTCGTGGTCGTGGTCGTCGTGGTCGTGGTGGTCGTGGTGGTCGTGGTCGAAGTCGTCGTTGTGGTCGTTGTCGTGATCGTGGTCGTCGTGATCGTGGTCGTGGTCGTGGTCGTGGTCGCCGTCATCGCCGTCGTCGTGGTCGTGGTCGTGGTCGTGGTCGTGGTCGCCGTCGTGGTCGTGGTCGTGGTCGTGGTCGTGATCGTGGTCGTCGTCGTCGTCGTCGTCGTGGTCGTTGTCGTGGTCGTCGTCGTGGTCGTCGTGGTCGTGGTCGTGGTCGTGGTCGTCGTCGCGGTCGTCGTCATCCTCGTGGTCGTGGTCGTGGTCGTGATCGTGGTCGTCGTCGTGGTCAGCGTGGTCGTGGGCGTGGGCGTGGTCGTCGTCGTCATCGTCGTGGTCGTGGTCGTAGTCGTTGTGGTCGTGGTCGTGCGTGGTCGTGGTCGTGGTCGTGGTCGTGGTCGTGGTGATCGTGGTCGTGGTCGTGGTCGTGGTCGTGGTCGTCGTGGTCGTGGTCGTCGTGGTTGTGGTCGTGGTCGTGGTCGTGGTCGTGGTCGTCGTGGTCGTCGTGGTCGTGGTCGTGGTCGTCGTCGTCATCGTCATCGTCGTTGTCGTGCGTAATCGTGATCGTGGTTGTGGTCGTGGTCTTGGTCGTGGTCGTCGTGGTCGTGGTCGTCGTGGTTGTGGTCGTGGTCGTGGTCGTCGTGGTCGTCGTTGTCGTGGTCGTCGTGGTCGTCGTCGTCATCGTCATCGTCGTGGTCGTCGTGGTCGTGCGTGATCATGATCGTGGTTGTGGTCGTGGTCTTGGTCGTGGTAGTCGTGGTCGTGGTCGTGAGCGTGGTCGTGGTCGTCGTCGTCGTTGTCGTGGTCGTGGTCGTCGTCGTGGTCCTGGTCGTAGCCGTGGTCATCGTGGTCGTGGTCGTGCGTGGTCGTCGTCGTGGTCGTTGCCGTCGTCGTGGTCGTGGTCGTCGTGGTGGCGGTCGTGGTCGTGGTCGTCGTGGTGGTGGTCGTGGTCGTGGTTTTGGTCGTGGTGATGGTCGTCGTCGTCGTGGTCGACATCCTCTTCGTCGTGGTCGTGGTCGTGGTCGTCGTCGTGGTCGCGGTCGTGGCCGTCGTGGTCGTGATCGTGTGTGGTCGTGGTCGTGGCCCTAGTCATGGTCATCGTGGTCGTCGTCGTGGTGGTGGTCGTGGTAGTGGTCGTGGTCGTCGTGGTCGTCGTCGACATCCTCTTCGTCGTGGTCGTGGTCGTGGTCGTCGTCGTCATGGTCGTGGTCGTGGTCGTAAAAGGTCGTGGTCGTGGTGGTCGTGGTCGTGGGCGTCATGGTCGTGGTCGTGGTCGTGGTCGTCGTGGTCGTGGTCGTGGTCGCCGTCGTCGTCGTGGTCGTGGTCGTCGTCGTCGTGGTCGTGGTCGTGGTCGTGGTCGTCGATGTGGCGGTCGTGGTCGTGGTCGTGGTCCTGGTCGTGGTCGTGGTCGTGCGCGGTGGTGGTTGTGGTCGTGGTCGTGGTCGTTGTCGGTCGTGGTCGTCGTCGTGGTCGTCGTGGTCGTCGTCGTCGTGGTCGTGGTGGTGGTCGTCGTCGTCGTGGTCGTGGTGATGGTGGTCGTCGTAGTCGTCGGCGTCCTCGTCGTCGTGGTCGTGGTCATGGTCGTGGTCGTGGTCGTGGTCGTGGTCGTCGTGGTCGTGCTCGTGGTCGTGGTGGTCGTGGTCGTGGTCGTCGTCGTGGTCGTGGCCGTGGATCCGTCGCCGTCCGTGGACGTGGTCGCGGTCGTGTCGACGTCGTGCGCGTCGGTCGTGGTCGTGGTCGGGCTGGTCGTGCGTGTCGTGGTCGTACGTGGTCGTTCGTGTCGTGGGTCGTGTAGTCGTCCGTGTCTGGTCTTGGTCGTGGTCGTGGTCGTGGTCGTGGCCTGTGTCGTGTCGTCTGTTCGTGTCTTGGTCGACCTCAAGCGCAGTCGTGGTCGTGTTCGAGAGGTCGTGGTCGTGGTCGTGGACGGTGGTCGGTCGTGGACGTCGTGTCGTGTCATGGTCGTTCGCGGTCTTGGTCGGTGTCGATGATCGTGGTCGCGGTCGTCGTCGTCGTCGTCGTCGTCGTCGTCGTCGTCGTCGTGGTCGTGTCGGGTCGTGTCGTCGTGGTCGTGTCGTGTCGTGGTGGTCGTGGTCGAAGTCGTCGTTGTGGTCGTTGTCGTGATCGTGGTCGTCGTGATCGTGGTCGGTGGTCGTTGGTCGTGGTCGCCGTCATCGCCGTCGTCGTGGTCGTGGTCGTGGGTCGTGGTCGTGGTCGCCGTCGTGGTCGTGGTCGTGGTCGTGGTCGTGATCGTGGTCGTCGTCGTCGTCGTCGTCGTGGTCGTTGTCGTGGTCGTCGTCGTGGTCGTCGTGGTCGTGGTCGTGGTCGTGGTCGTCGTCGCGGTCGTCGTCATCCTCGTGGTCGTGGTCGTGGTCGTGATCGTGGTCGTCGTCGTGGTCAGCGTGGTCGTGGGCGTGGGCGTGGTCGTCGTCGTCATCGTCGTGGTCGTGGTCGTAGTCGTTGTGGTCGTGGTCGTGCGTGGTCGTGGTCGTGGTCGTGGTCGTGGTCGTGGTGATCGTGGTCGTGGTCGTGGTCGTGGTCGTGGTCGTCGTGGTCGTGGTCGTCGTGGTTGTGGTCGTGGTCGTGGTCGTGGTCGTGGTCGTCGTGGTCGTCGTGGTCGTGGTCGTGGTCGTCGTCGTCATCGTCATCGTCGTTGTCGTGCGTAATCGTGATCGTGGTTGTGGTCGTGGTCTTGGTCGTGGTCGTCGTGGTCGTGGTCGTCGTGGTTGTGGTCGTGGTCGTGGTCGTCGTGGTCGTCGTTGTCGTGGTCGTCGTGGTCGTCGTCGTCATCGTCATCGTCGTGGTCGTCGTGGTCGTGCGTGATCATGATCGTGGTTGTGGTCGTGGTCTTGGTCGTGGTAGTCGTGGTCGTGGTCGTGAGCGTGGTCGTGGTCGTCGTCGTCGTTGTCGTGGTCGTGGTCGTCGTCGTGGTCCTGGTCGTAGCCGTGGTCATCGTGGTCGTGGTCGTGCGTGGTCGTCGTCGTGGTCGTTGCCGTCGTCGTGGTCGTGGTCGTCGTGGTGGCGGTCGTGGTCGTGGTCGTCGTGGTGGTGGTCGTGGTCGTGGTTTTGGTCGTGGTGATGGTCGTCGTCGTCGTGGTCGACATCCTCTTCGTCGTGGTCGTGGTCGTGGTCGTCGTCGTGGTCGCGGTCGTGGCCGTCGTGGTCGTGATCGTGTGTGGTCGTGGTCGTGGCCCTAGTCATGGTCATCGTGGTCGTCGTCGTGGTGGTGGTCGTGGTAGTGGTCGTGGTCGTCGTGGTCGTCGTCGACATCCTCTTCGTCGTGGTCGTGGTCGTGGTCGTCGTCGTCATGGTCGTGGTCGTGGTCGTAAAAGGTCGTGGTCGTGGTGGTCGTGGTCGTGGGCGTCATGGTCGTGGTCGTGGTCGTGGTCGTCGTGGTCGTGGTCGTGGTCGCCGTCGTCGTCGTGGTCGTGGTCGTCGTCGTCGTGGTCGTGGTCGTGGTCGTGGTCGTCGATGTGGCGGTCGTGGTCGTGGTCGTGGTCCTGGTCGTGGTCGTGGTCGTGCGCGGTGGTGGTTGTGGTCGTGGTCGTGGTCGTTGTCGGTCGTGGTCGTCGTCGTGGTCGTCGTGGTCGTCGTCGTCGTGGTCGTGGTGGTGGTCGTCGTCGTCGTGGTCGTGGTGATGGTGGTCGTCGTAGTCGTCGGCGTCCTCGTCGTCGTGGTCGTGGTCATGGTCGTGGTCGTGGTCGTGGTCGTGGTCGTCGTGGTCGTGCTCGTGGTCGTGGTGGTCGTGGTCGTGGTCGTCGTCGTGGTCGTGGCCGTGGTCGTCGCCGTCGTGGTCGTGGTCGCGGTCGTGGTCGTCGTCGTGGTCGTGGTCGTCGTGGTCGTGGTCGTGCGTGTCGTGCGTGGTCCGTGTCGTCGTGGTCGTCGTGGTCGTGGTCGTGGTAGTCGTCGTGTCTTGTCTTGGTCGTGGTCGTGGTCGTGGTCGTGGTCGGTGTCGTGGTCGTCGTGGTCGTGGTCTTGGTCGTTGTCGCCGTGGTCGGTCGTGGTCCGTGGTCGAGGTCGTGGTCGTGGTCGTGGTCGTGGTCGTCGTCGTGGTCGTGGTCGTCGTGGCCGTGCGTCGTCGTGGTCTTGGTCGTGGTCGTGGTGGTGGTCGTCATCGTGGTCGGTCGTGGTCGTGTCGTGGTCATGGTCGTGGTCGTGGTCGTTGTCGTGGTCGTGGTCGTGGTCGTCGTCGTGGTCGTGGTCGTGGTCGTGGTCGTCGTCGTGGTCGTGGTCGTCGTGGTCGTGGTCCGTGTCGTCGTGGTCGTGAGGTGGTCGAGGTCGTGGGCGTGGTCGTGGTCGGGCCGTGGGCGGGTCGTCGTCGTCGTCGTCTTCGTGGTCGTCGTGGTCGTCACCGTGGCCTTGGTCGTGGTCGTGGTCGTCGTCGTCGTGGTCGTGCTCGTGGTCGCGGTCGTGGTCGTCGTCGTGGTCGTGGTCGTGGTCGTGGTCTTCGTGGTCGTCGTCGGCGTCGTCGTGGTCGTCGTGGTCGTGGTCGCGGTCGTGGTCGAGGCCGTGGTCGTGGTCGTGGTCGTGGTCGTGGTCGTCGTCGTCGTGGTCGTCGTGGTCATCGTCGTGGTCGTCGTGGTCTTGGTCGTGGTCTTGGTCGTGGTCGTGGTCGTGGCCGTCGTCGTCGTCGTCGAGGCCGTGGTCGTGGTCGTGGTCGCGGTCCTCGTCGTGGTCCTGGTCGTGGTCGTGGTCGTGATCGTCGTGGTCGTGGTCGTCGTCGTGGTCGTGGTCGTGGTCGTGGTCGTCGTCGTCGTCGTGGTCGTGGTCGTGGTCATAGTCGTGGTCGTCGTCGTGGTCGTGGTCGTGATCGTGGTCGTCGTCGTCGTCGTGGTCGTGGTCGCGGTCGCGGTCGAGGTCGTGGTCGTCGTCGTCGTGGTCGTCGTCGTGGTCGTCGTGGTCGTCGTGGTCGACGTCGTGGTCTTGGTCGTGGTCGTGGTCGTGGTCGTAGTCGTCGTCGTCGTCGTCGTCGTCGTGGTCGTGGTCGTGGTCGTGGTCGTGGTCGTGGTCGTGGTCGCCGTCGTGGTCGTGGTCGTGGTCGTGGTCGTAGTCGTGGTCGTGGTCGTGGTCGTCGTCGTGGTCGTGGTCGTGGTCGTGGTCGTGGTCGTCGTGGTCTTGGTCGTGGTCTTGGTCGTGGTCGTGGTCGTGGTCGTGGCCGTCGTCGTCGTCGTCGTGGTCGTGGTCGTGGTCGTGGTCGTGGTCGTGGTCGTGGTCGCCGTCGTGGTCGTGGTCGTGGTCGTGGTCGTAGTCGTGGTCGTGGTCGTGGTCGTCGTCGTGGTCGTGGTCGTGGTCGTGGTCGTGGTCGTCGTGGTCTTGGTCGTGGTCTTGGTCGTGGTCGTGGTCGTGGTCGTGGCCGTCGTGGTCGTGGTCGTGGTCGTGGTCGTGGTCGTGGTCGTGGTCGTGGTCGTGGTCGCCGTCGTGGTCGTGGTCGTGGGCCGTGGGAGGCCTTGCGAGTCCCCCTGCTGGCTCGGCCGGCCGCACACCGCTCGCGCCCCCCCCACCCCCCTCTTGAGGTCGGAGGCCTCCAAGATTGGAAAGGGAAGTGCCGCCACGGCGGCCCCAGGGACGCGCTATGCCCTGCGGGCGGATAGCGTGTCGCTCCGCTACGCGGGGCTCTAGGCAGGGAAAGGCTCGGGACGCTGGCGCCGGGGGGCTGGGTAATAGTGGATAGCGTGTCGCTCTAAAGCGTGGTGGGCCAGAACCCGCTCGCGCCCCCGCTTCTTGGGGTCGGAGGCCCGTAATATTAGACTTGAAACTTGAAAACGACGGCATAAACGACGTCATACTGTAGGCCTCCTTAAGAGACGTCGACACAGACTTGAGCTTTCGGAAGTCGGCGTTTTTTTGCTTGGGTCGGCGCTCGACCCCCCCTTTCTAGGGCGCGCGGCGCCGCCAGGGGGGGACGCAGCGCAGATCCAAGAACTCCACGCGGACCCACGGCAGTTAGTGTTGGTGTCAAGATTTCCCCGGCAATCAGAGTGCTTCAAATGGGAGCAGGAGGGCTTGAAATCCGCTGGCCCCCTTGTGGGGCCACCAGGCTATAGGCCGAAGGTTCGCAGTTTCCTGTACCAGTTGCAGCTTCCAGTTTCCACTGTTACAGTTCTGCTTCTTGCTGCTTACTGTATCTTACTGTTCCTTGTTGACGGACCGCGCGAGGAGGGGAGGCCCAAAACGGGCATTTTTACCACGCCCTGAGCGTGTTGTCTGAATTGCTGGGGCGGGTAAAAATTGACACCCCTCACGCAGATCGGCGGGGGCAGGGTCCAAAAACAAAAGGGATTTGCCACATTTCTGAAACTCGGTGGCACCCCTCACGCAGATCGGAGGGGTCAGAGTCCAAAAACACATGGGATTTGCCACATTTCTGAAATTCGGCGGCACCTCTCACGCAGATCCGTAGGGTCAGGATCCAAAAACACATGGGATTTGCCACATGTTTGAAACTCGGCGGCACCCCTCGCGCAGATCCGTAGGGTCAGGATCCAACGAACTCCAGGGATTTGCCGCATTTCCGAAATTCGGTGGCAGCCGTGACGCAGATCGGCAGGGCGAGGGCCGAAAAACCAACAGGTCCCGACACCGCTTCACGGCGGCGCCCAGACCTCATGATCTAGCTTCTGCAGATCCCATTCTCCGAGACAGGGGGCCGGCGGCATGGGGCGAAGCCCTTAACGGATATTTGAGGCAACCCGACTTCGCGCATCGCGCCCCGCCCGCCCTCGCGCCGTTGCTCTGGGATAAGGGCGCCTCTCCAGCCCAAGCCGCGGTGCGCGACGCGCGATCACCTCCGTGCCCCCGGGGGCGACCCGAGGAGAAGCGCCCCCTGCCCTCTGAAAGAGGGGCATCCCCCTCCCGCTGGGGGGCTGTAGGGCGTCCCGAAGCGCTGCGGCGGCAGACCGTGCGGTGATCTCGGAATCCCCGAAGACTTCGCCGCACCGGTTTGACACCTTGGAGGCCCCCATTGCCCGAGACGTCCTCGGAAAACGGCCCGAGTCGCAAAACCACGCGTGGTCACCCCAAATCCCCACTGACTCCTCAGATGAGCCATCCTTCGTGGCCGTAACTCGGGTCTCCGGCGGCCGTTGTGGACGATCCCGGCACCCCCAGTGGCACCCCCGGAAAGCCCTCGGCGAGGCACAGCTGCTGGAGCGCAGCCCGAGGATGAAAAACCGCAGAGACTCGACGAACGTTTCCGAACTCCCCACCGACTCGCCCCGAATCCCCCTCGTGCTGTCGGCCCGAATCCTCGCCGACTCACCACACGCGGTATAGGGCGCGGCCACCGCACCGTTTCGGCACCCCCGAGAAAGGGGTCCTGGATCCCCTGGGGGCCCTCCCCCGGACCAGCCTCTCCCCCGGGCCTGCTTTCTCTCACGGTCCGCGGGCCCAGGCGGGGCCCCACATGGAGGCCGCACCCGTCGCACAAGGGCACGACCCCCGGAGGTCTTCACGGCGACAGCCTCACAGCACCTCACGGAGGCGACGAGGGCGGCCACAGCGTGCCGGGAAGCAGCTGCGCGGGCCGTTGGCGAGAGCACCGCCGCAAGAGCTGCACTGCGCAGCCGAGGCGGCAGTGCCAGCAGGGCACACTGCAGGGGCCGCGGGAGCACGGGAGGGCCGCGTCGAGTGGGCTGCGAGGGCTGTGCCGAGCAAACGGGAGCCGGCCCCTTGGATCAGCGGCGAGCGAGGGGGGAAGCGCGAAGGAGAAGTCCTCCCCAGAAGGCTCGAAAGCCCCCCGGCCTTCTGTGACAGTTTCCTGAGCCTTCCCCGAAGACACAGGACACTTATCAGAAGGCGCGAGGGCTTCTGAGAAGCCCCGCCGTCTTCTGAGAAGGCCTGCTCCTTCCCACTTCTCCTCCTCGCTCGCCGCCGAGGGGGCTGCGAGGGCTGTGCCGAGCAGGCGGGAGCCGGCCCCTTTGAGGCCCTCCCACACCTCGCCATCGCTCGGGCGTCCACTCCCGGTGCGTGCCCCTCCCGATACCAAGACGGTCCAGGGTGCGCCTCGAAGGCCCCCGCCAAGAGAAGGAACAACAACAAGAACGTCCGAGCCGCAACGCCAGGTGCCCCTTTGAGGCCTTTGAGGGCCCCCCCTCGCGCCCACCCCTCTTTCCGAGCGCAGGCCCGCGACCGCTCTGCTCCACCTCGAAGAGGTCCACGGGGTGGTCGGCCTCTCGCCGCCAAGAGGAGCGGCGGAGAGGGCAGCGAGCGCCGCCCCCGCGGAATGGCGCGGCGAGGCACTCCCCCGCGCGGCCGGGGCTGGAGAGGAGGAGAGCGATGGCCACGACTGGCTGCGCCATGATCGATCCCCAGCCTGGGTGGGGCACCCATCCAGGGGGGGCGGCCTTCCGACGGAGCTTGCTCATCCCCTCCCCCCCTCCTCCTCCTCCTCCTCCTCCTCCTCCGCCGCCTCCTCCTCCCCATCCTCCTCCTCCTCCTCCGCCTCCTCCTCCCCCGCCTCGTGCTCCTCCTCCTCCTCCTCCGCCTCCGCCTCCTCTTCCTCCGCCTCCTCATCCGCCTCCTCCTCCTCCTCCTCCTCCTCCTCCAACTCCGTCTCCTCCTCTTCCTCCTCCAACTCCTTCTCTTCCTCCACCCACCCCTCCACCCGTTCCGACAGCACGTGCCCACCCCTCCACCCCCGCGGACCCGAGGGGGGAGGGGCTCATAGAAACACAAAAACATGACTGCCCATGCTGGACATACGGGCGGAAGTTGATCACTCTCTGTCGCTGTTTTGCGAATCATGGGGTACGTCGCAGAGCCAGGAGGAGTGCCTGGGGAGGGGCAAAGGCCACTCCTTGACGAAAACCTAAGCTGGAGGCCGCCGCGATCGCCGAGGCGATCTTCAAAACCGACCCGGAGGTTTGATTCGGGGTCGGAGGAATTGTGTTTTGGAGCGGCTCGGGAGACCTCCCATGGCCTCCGCACGCCCCGAGGGAGCCCTGGGAGAGCCTCTCCCGGGGCCCCCCGACTCTGCGTGCAAACAGGGACCTCTTGCCAGATTCGGCGTCAAAGGGCGAAGAATGAGGAATGCATCGGCCCACGTCTGCAGGTTTCCTCGAACGCGCCAGTCGAGGTAAGAGGCACGATAACCATGACCGAGCTGTCGCGAGGTCTTGGTCACATCCGATTCGTGGATCATGCTCGCGAATCGGCGACGGCCGACGTGGACCATGACCAAGATCGACATCGACAAGATCGTGCTTCTCACCTCGACTGGCGCATTCGAGGAAACCTGCAAACATGGACCGAAGCATTCCTCATTCTTCGCCCTCTGACACCGAATCTGGCAAGAGGTCCCGGTTCTGCAGGGTCGGGGCCCCAGGAGAGGCTCTCCCCGGGCCTGCTTGGGGCGTGCGGAGGCCATTGGAGATCCCTGGAGGTCTCCCGAGCCGCCCCAAAACAAAATTCCCTGGCGAAGGACTCAATCATATGCAACATTGAGCAACACAGTTGTGAGCATCGTCCTCGGCGGAGCTCCCGATTGGGGCCACGAAACGTGTGAGGGGTGTGCCGAAATAGGTGCGGGGCACGCGTGTGAGTAATGTGAACACTGCCACTGGGACCTTCGGTGGAGCTCCCTATGGGGCCACGAATCGTGTGAGGGGTGTGCCGGCATAGGGGGGACGCATCTGAGCACTGCCACTGGGGCCTCCTTTGGAGCGCCCCATGGGGCCACAAAACGTGTGAGGGGTGTGCCGAAATGGGCGGGGGGACGCATGTGGCCACTGCCACTGGGGCCTTCGGTGAAGCTGCTGATGGGGCGGAGATGTATGTGGACCCTGCCACTAGCGCATACGGTGGAGCTTCCTACGGGGCCACGAAACATGTGAGGGGGTGCCGAAACAGGGCGGGGGGACGCATGTGGACCCTGCCACTGGGGCCTTCGGTGGAGCTCCCTGTTGAGGTACGAAACGAAACGTGTGAGGGGCGTCCTGAAATTATTGACGTGCGGAGGGCAGAGACAGGGATGGGAGGGAGGGGGGGGGGAAGGAGGAGTGAGTGACGCGGGGCGGTGTCTCTTCAAAACGAGGACCCAACACCACAGGATGGCTGGGGAAATGAATAACTCTGGAGATCTAGGCCCACCCCCCTACTCCGAACGACTTCGCAAGTAGGGCGAAAATGTCCGCCGTACTTTTTGAGCTCCTTTGATGCCGATTTCCGCATATTTCCGCCCCACATTGCCCGTCGCTGTCCTCGCGGAAGTGTTCGCTCGACTTACTTCCTGAAGCGGAGATTTCCGCCCTGCTTCTCTGCCCCGTTTTGGGTGCCTGTCTGCCACGATCTGAAAGTCGGGAAATCAACCAAAGAACGGCGGATCT